CCTGGATCCGGCTGGACTACAAGCTCTCTACACGCCATATGCCAAGTTCATGGGTGAGTCCAGCGAGATCCAGTGGCATTGGAGCAGGAAGGGGACAGAGCTGAGGGAGTGAACCTGGGGTCTGAACATGGGAAGGGGATAAACATTACCCAGTGGTTTGCACCTCTGGAGGAAGTGTGAGCTGATGGTCCCCGGGACCTGGTGTGGGGACTTAAAGGCGAAGCATAAACCCACACTTGGCTTTGTCTTGGAGGCAGGATCTAGGAGACTGCAGTGGTGTTGCTTGGCAGGAAGGCTGGGGCCCTGCAGGCATCGCCCAGACCTTAAATGCCATTGCTGTCTATCCTCCCCTCCTCTCCCCGCCCCTCCCCTCTCCTCTCATTCCCTCATCTCCCTTCCCTTCCCCTCCCTTCAACCTTCACACCCAGCCCAGCTGCTCTGCTGAGGGCAATCACAGTGAGTAATGAGACTGTGTTGAGAGAGTAGCCTGCACTGGCATTAGGGCCTGGTGTCCACAGTAACCAGTGCCCTGGAGGAGGTTGAGGGTGGGGAAGGTGTGTAAGGAGTAGGAATACTGGTTTTCAGAAAACCAGCTCTGGTTTCAATTGTCTCGATTTTGACAGGTTGGTGTGACCTTTGAGGACATTGCCCTGTACTTCTCCAGAACGGAATGGAGCCTCCTTGATGAGGGTCAGAGACAGCTGTACCTGAATGTGATGCTGGAGAACTTTGAACTTCTATCCTCCCTGGGTAAGACCCTCACTCTCACCAGTGACCTGGGCTTGGCTTTGGGCCTTCCCAGGCCCCATTCCCCAGGGTTTGCTGTATCCCCCCACAGAGACTGTGGTATTGGTTGATTTTCCAGTTTTCTGGGTAGTTGCTGTCCTGGGGAGGATTGGTCTGTTTCTGCTGCTCCCTTCTATTCCTGAAGTCCCAATACTCCTGGCTGCACTAAATTCACAGGGAAGGACTTGTGGTTGGTTGTAGACATCTATGAAATAGCAACAAAAATAATTTTATGGTTGGGGGTCACCACAATATGAGGAACTGTATGAAAGGGTCGTGGCATTAGGAAGGTTGAGAACCACTGCAGAAGAAACTCAGTATGTGCCCTTGACTGGAATGTAACCTGGGAACTTTCAGTCGCAGGCTGACACTCTATCCACTGAGCAAACCAGCTAGGGCTGATCTTTCCTTCTTTCCTTCTTTCCTTCTTTCCTTCTTTCCTTCTTTCCTTCTTTCCTTCTTTCCTTCTTTCCTTCCTTCCTTCCTTCCTTCTTTCCTTCTTTCCTTGTTATTATAACCCGTGTTTTTGACTTTAGGTATCTTCAAATGTGTTTGCTCACCTAGTTAGTTTCCTG